AGAATGGGTGACCAGGGAGCACCGTGGACTGGGACCCCTCCCCAACACTGTGCCCCTCTGTGGGGTGCCGAGAGGAGTGGGGAAGGACACAGGGCAGGCGGAGCCCCCATTCCCCAGGGTGCTCCCCATTCGGGGCAGGGTGCTCATCCCACCAGTGACTAGGAGCAGTGGCTGCCGCTGACCCCACGGGGCCCTCCTGAAGGTTCTCCGTCTCCCTGTCCCCATGTCCTCTGCCAGTAGCCGGGCAGTGCAGGGCTGCAGGGCCCTTTGCCCAGGCCGGGCTGGCTCTGCAGGCTCAGCTCTGCCTCTCCTGCTCTGGGCCAGGCGGAGGTCTCCCTGCCGCTGGCCTCCCCTGCGGGGGCCTCCAGCCCCGGACCAGGCCTGAGACACTCCTTTCTGTGTCTTTGGCCCAGCGAGGCCGGTTTCAGATTCCTGACCTTGGACTTGTGAGATGATGGACTCCAGCTGTTTTTCAAGACCCAAGTTGACAATGGCTTGTTGCGGTGACACAGCACCCTCCACACTCAGGGGGCCTCGTCTCTGGGCCACCAAAGCGGCAGGAGAGAGGGAATGGGACTCCACCCTGGACACCCTCCAAGTCCCGTCACCCAGAGGCTGGGCAGTGTACCGGAGGCGCCCAGGTCACGCCTGCCTCAGCACCTCTCGGAGCATCTTCTAAACTCAAGGGGATTGCAGGATCCAGATTTGAAACTGACCCAAGACACTATGGAAGAGTGGCCATGAGAACTCCAATTCTGCTCGTCCAGCCTTTGGTCTAGCCGTGGGGCTCTGGCCTGGCAGGTTCCTGGGTGGTCATTTCTCCCTGACCCAGAAGCAGGCAGAGCTACCCACCAGGACTGGGTGAATCCCGGTGGCATCCACAGGGGGAGGTGACTCAGTCTACACAGGAACAAAGGGCAGGCCTCGCTCAGTGGAGGGCACTGGCTGAGCCCGGGCCGGCCCTGGCACCTGGCTGGCCGTGGACAGACCTAGAACCACCATGCTGAGGGAAAGAGGCCCCGTGGTGCAGAGTCCACCCACGGGAGAGGCCAGGGCAGGCACAGGCAGGGGACAGAGAGCAGGTGAGTGGCCGTGGGGCTGGAGGAGGCCGCACAGGGCTTCTCAAGGGCTATCCAATGTCCTGCCAGGGCTGGGGGCAGCTCAGCCGCAGGGTTGGCAAGGACAAGGCCCATCCCTAGCAGGGAGAGAGAGAGAGAGAAGAGAGAGGAGGGAAGGGGAGGGGAGGGGAGAGGGGAAGGGAGGAAGGAAGGAAAAAAGAATGAAAGAGAGAGAAAGAAAAAAGAAAAGAAAGAACATGTCCAGTTGTTTGTGGGGAGAGCTGGACAACTCTGAATACACTGAAGCCACCACCCCACACACTTCCAGGGTGGAGGAGACCAAAAGTTCAAGAAAGCAGGCTCCCCGCTCTCCTTAACTGCTGGCCACCACTGCAAATGCTGCCCCTCAGGACGTCCCCTGGGGCTGGCCCCTGCCACCAGGCCAGCCCAGCCTCTGCTGTGCGTGGAGCTCCTCCGGGATCCCTGCCAGCCCTGTGACCCGGGTGTGCACAGAGCTCCCAGTGCTGTGCTTTCATCCAGGTGAGACACACGGTCACATTAAGCCGCAGTGAACACACAGCTCTGTGCAAGAGACACACCCCTATTTCCATGTGTTTGCCATGACTCCGCCCCAGGATTCTTGCATCTTGTAAGACTGAGACCCTCTGTCCATGAACCAGCTCCTGGTCACCCTCCCCAAGCCCCAAGACTCTGTTCTGTCTCCATGCCCCAGACTGGGCCTCTGCCCATGGAGGCTGCTCAGTGACCAGGACCACTGCATGCAGTTGTGCAGGTCACAACCTGTACACACAGCCCTGCCTTGACCCTGAGGGCCCCAGAGGTTCCCAAATCCAGCCCCCCCCCCCCACATCGGGGGTGTGCTCTGTGAATCAGAGGCAGCCAGGGACTAAGGCGGTATCTCCTGGGACTGGAAGGCGGAGGAGGAAGGCTGCTTAATGGTCACCGGTTTCCCTCCCGGGGGTGAAAGTGCTCCTGATTAGACGGGGTGCTGAGGCCCAGCCCCAGGATCGCACACTGGGACACGGTGGAGATGGTGACTTTGGTGCTCCGTGTATATCGCCCCAGTCAATGAGGTGGGCGCCCTGGCCTGCTTGCCTGGCTCTGGGCAGCCTCAGCCCGCGGGGCCCTCCTGCATTCCCAGAGCAGATCGGGGCCACTTGCGCCCCCACCCTGGGCCTGGACCTGGCTCCTCTGGCTCCCACCCTCCTCCTCACCCTGGTCTGGGCCACCCAGCCGAGGACACTTCCCTTCCAGGTCACTGGTGGCTGAAGTTCCTGTGGCAGCCGCTCTTCTGCCGAGAAGATGTTCAGATGAATGGGGTGCGGTGGGTCCCCCAAGCTGCCTCCCCACCAGGCAGCTCTGCAGGCTCATCCCTGCGGGACAAGCCGGACTGGGCAAGAGGCTGAAATCCTGCCCTGGATCCCTGGGTCCCACCCCAGCATCCCCAGGGGACTGGTGTGGGCTTCCAGGACTCCTCATCTGGGGCCTGGGTCCGTGGATCTTGCAACGGAAGGCTAGGAAATCACAGCTCCGAGGCACTTTGCCGCATCCCTGGGGAAAGAAGGCAAAGGACCAGTCCTGGGTTCAAGTCTCTTACTAGCTGTTCTCTCGAGCGGGTTACTTAACTTCTCTGTGCCTGTTTCCTTCTGTGTAAAATGCAGATTAAAATCCCTTTGAGGGGCTGGGGTTATGGCTCAGTGGTAGAGCACTTGCCTAGGTTGAGTGAGGCCCTGGGTTCAATCCTCAGCAGCACATAAACAACAACCAAACAGGTTGGGGATATAGTCAGTTGGTAGAGTGCCTGTCTTGCATCACAAGGACCTGGGTTCAATCCCCAGCACCACCCAAAAAATAAAATAAAGGTTGAATTTTAAAAAACCTGAAAACTAGTCATGGAACATAAAATTAAGCATTTTAAAGATTTTTTTTATTTTTTTATTTATTTTTTTTTACTGAGCATTGAACCCGGGGGACTTTACCACTGACCCATACCCCTAGTGCTTTTAAATTTTTATTTCAAAACAGGATCTTGCTAAATTGCTGAGCTGGCATCTAATTTGTGACCTCCTGCCTCTCAGCCTCTCGAGTTGCTGGGATTACAGGCTGCACCCCTGAGCTGGGCTTAAAACGAGCCATTTTAGTGTATTCAGTCTGGTGGTATTTAGTAGAAACACCATGCACAACCACCACCTCTATCAAGTTCCAAAACATGTTCATAACTATAGGAGCTGTTTTGAGGATTAAATGAATTAGTGCTTCTAAGAGGGCGCCTGGAACAGTAAATACAAATGAGGACTCCGTCGGAGGTGGGCCGCTGGGGGTGGTGCAGCGCTGGCTTAGACCGCAGGAAGCTCTGGGGCGAGGAGGAATACTTAACAGTAGAAGCGGGGTAAGAATGGGAGACACAGGTGGTAGGTGACAGTGACATTATTTATTTATTCCCTTGGGCTGGAGGAAGAGGAAGTGAAGTTCTCCTGCCCCCTGCGGGTCCCATTTTCTGCGTGGAGCGCTCGGTGCCCAGTCCCCGCACCAGCCCCCGCTCCCGCCCCGCAGAGTCAATGCTCCCGTGTTGGGGGCAGAGGAGGCGCCCGCTCGCCTTTTGTGCTCGCGACACCGGCTAACACTGTTGATGCACACCGCGAGCCTCGCACCGAGCCCTCCCGCAGAGCCCGGGAGGAGCCCGCCAGCCAACTCACCTGTGGCTGCTCCCGACGCCATGGGCTGTCATTTGCCGCCACCTTGTGGCGGCGAGGGGGAACTCCGCGTCCCATTTCCATCCTTGATAACCCAGATGGCACGGAGCACCTGCCGCCTGCACGGTCCCCAGTTAAGATCCTGAAGACTCGCGTGCTGTCCAGGGAGGCAGCCACAGCCCTGCCTTCAGGGAGCTCGCAGTCTCCGGAGAGAGACCACCAGAAACCGAGACGAATGAGTGGACACAAGGACTACAATGGGATGCCGGCTGCGCAGGGAACAGGAGCAGCTCACTGCAGGGGCAGCCGAGGCGTCCGGAGGGCTGTCCGCCTGCCTCCGTGGGAGGCGGGTCCGATTCCCCCACACGGAAGGCGAGTTCATCCAGGGCGGGCGCAGAGGAGCTGCTGGGTGACAGCGATCCAGAGCCGGCGTCTGGGCTCCTGCGGGCCAAACAGATGAGGAGTGGAGAGGCAGGACTCAGGAGGGGAGAGCTGGGCCTCCGCGAGTCCCGGTGGGCTGAAGGGTTCGGATGTGAGCTAAAATGGGGGGGGGGTGGGCAGATGTCGCCCTCCCAGGATGGTCCTGATCCGCCTTGTTTTCAACCTCCCTCCGCTGGTTTCTTGAAGCCCCCCCCCCTTATTTTTCTCCCTTTGGCATTTTTCACCACCTACTAATTTGCCTTATTTATTTAATGTCTGTCTCCCTGTGGAATGAAGACCCACGAGGGCAAGGAAGTCTGGTGTGTTCTCTGGTGACTCTTCAGCGCCTGCAGGGCCCGACGCAGAGCGGGCGCTTTGTGGACACGTGCGGAACGCCTGGAGGGGCCTCCTGGACACGGCCAGCGGAGGAAGGAGCGGGCTCCAGCCCAGGGCTGCGGGATTGAGCGAGGGACGCTGCACCTGCACTGAAGGGCTGAAGTACACTGCGCCGCAGGCACTGGCCCGGCGGGGCGCAGAGCCCACCTGGGGGCAGGGACCTCCCAGCCGCCCCGTTGTTCTGGAGGCTGGGCGCCTTAGGGGCGGGACGGAACACAGGGCCGTCCGGAGGCGTGGCCAATCCGGAGGAAGGGTCGGGATGAGGGCGTGGTCAAACAGGGGACATGCAAAGTGAGGGCGGGGCTAAGAGGGGAGGGAGGAATCCGTCCGGGGCGGGGCCAGTAAGTGAGCAAGGTAAACCTGGGCGGGGCCGTGGCAGGCGGCGTGGGCGGGGCCAGGGCGTGGGCGGGGCCAGCCCGATCTCCGCTGTCCCGGGTCCTGGAGCGCTCCGGGCCCGCAGGTCTCTCTCCAGTCGCTCGGGCTCCTCCCCTGCTGGCCGGACCGCCGGGTGTGCTGGGCTTAACGCCCCTGGCCCGGCAGCCGCGGTCGGGCTCCGCCCCAGGCGCTGTGCTCCCGCTCGGCGACCGCTGGAGACCCGGCGAGCTCAGCTCCTGGGCCAGGCGAGTGCCAGGACACTGCCCCCCGGGCTGTGTCCCCAGAGACTCCAAGAGCTGAGGTGAGCAGGGTTGCGGGGGCCTGTGCGTGCATATGCGTGTGTGCCTGCTTCTGTGTGGGTGTGCAAGTGCGTGTGCGCATGAGTGTGTGTGCACGTCTGTGTACATCAGGGAAATTCTGTGTCCGTGGATTTGGGTAGGTGTGTGCTTCAGTGAGCTGCGTGAGTGTGCAAAGTTGTGTACCTGTGCATGGTGGTCCTGTGTGGGAGGGGAGTCACGCATGTGTGTGGCATAGACAGTGCAGGTGAAATTTGGTGAACCTTTGTGTATGTGAGCGTGTCTTGGGGGGAAATAGGAGCGCAGGATACTTGGGGGGCTATGTGTCAGGATGTCTGTGGCAAGCTGTCGGAGCATGTGTGAAGAGAATGGTGGGAGTGTAGGAATTGCGTGTGTGCGCGCTTGCGTGTGTGTGCGCGTGCATGTGACGGTGAAGGGTGATTCTGGGGACCCTCCCTGTGAAGGGGTGGGAATGGAGGAAGGTTTGGAGTGCTAACTGCCCTTGGAGGGGTGAGTGTAGTCTGGGGTCTTGGGTAGTGGACAGGACAGGTGTTTGAAGCCTGGCCTGGACTACCTTGGAAATCATATCAGCTGCCTCACTTTGAGGGCTGGGGAGAAGTGTGGGTGGGCCAGAGGGGCTGGGGAGTGTCCCTGCTTGGTGTGAAAGGAGCTACTGTCTCACCAGTCACCCCTCACCCAGGCTCTGTGCTGGCCACCATCTGGGTGGCTTCCAAGTGTGAGCATGGTGCAGAAGTACCAGTCTCCTGTCCGTGTCTACAAGTACCCTTTCGAGCTGGTCATGGCGGTGAGTGACACTGCATTTTCGGGCCCCCCGAGGGATAGTGGGAAGGACTCAGGAAGCCAGCTATGGTGGGAAGAAGAGGGAGCTCCCTGGACCCCCAGATGGGAAAGCATTATTGAGTTACTCAGCTACCCTGGTGAGTCAGGCTTCTGACCAGTCACCCTCCTGCCCCCACACTGTCCCTTCCCACCTTTTCAGAACTTCTGGAATCCCTGCCCAGTGACCAGAACTTAAGAACTGTTTGTCTTCCCCTAGTTGAAAGCTTACCTCGCGCTCTTACTTCAGACCCTTCGGCCGGGAAGCAAGGATATGGGGGGGGGGGGTAAATGACTGGTGTCCTTTTTGTAATAACAATAGCTGCATGCACTGAGCATCTGCATTGCTAACTCTTCACACGCAAGGTTCCCTTCAATTTGTTAATCCCACTTACCTCTACTAGACAGAAGCTCGTCCAGGTTGAGGGGTGGCCCCAAATTCTGTCCCAGGGAGAGGTGGAGTCAGGACTCAGATCAACTCAGAGGGGACTCCAGAGTCCTGATTTTAACCACTGTGTCCCCAGCGTCTCCTTCCTATCCCAGACCCTCTGTGTGTGCCCTTCAATGAAGCTGAGACCAGGAGGTGAGAGGGGGTGAATGAACAGGTGGGAAGGGTCTGGCCCAGGGCGTCCAGGACACGTCACAGAAGCTGTGCCACCTATCAGTGTTGTGTGGCCAGCTAACGTTGGTTGCCTCCTGGATCAGTGGCCTTTGTGCTGTGGGACAGGCGCTGGGGACAGGCTGACATAGGATTCCTTGTTATTGTCATTGTTCTGTTTCTTGGAGCTTCTCTTTCCTGCTTGGAAAAATGAGGGCAGCGCTATGGGTTGGGGTGAGGAGTGAATGAGATGGTTCATGGTGCCCTCAGTGGTGAGGCCTTGGGCTGGTGGGAGCCCCCAGGGCAGGCTGCTCCCAGTTACTCCACCAGGCCTTATAGAGGCTTGTCTCCAAAGTGTCGAGACACCTGAGTCCACCCCTGTCTGCCCCACCTGCCCCTGCATCCTGGGGAATCCCAGCTCCACAGTTCCCTGGCCGGGTGACCTCTCAGAGCCACCACTCTCCACATCTACAGGGGGATCATCTGCTTTCCACATCCGGTCAGCACAGGGAGGGTCAATTTATGGAAGGCTCCAGTAGTGCAGGGTCTGCTGGGTGGGGGGGCTGCTGCAGGAGGCCTGGTGATTGCTGTTGTCGTCCATCTTCCCTTCTTTGTCATGGGGGTGGGACTCCAGGTGGGCGATGAAGAGACCCAGGGGTACAGAGTTGGAGGGGCTAGGTCCCTACTGCTGCTCTACGGTGTTCTGGCTGCGTGTCTTTGGAAGGTCTCTGAACTTCTCTGAGCCTCGGTTTCTTCATTTCTGAAATGGGGAGGGTTCAATGTTCCTCATGAAGTTGTTCCAAGGATTAAAAGTGGTCTTGGGCATGTGTCTACATTGCCCGGCACAGGGCCCGGTCCTACCAAGCAGACAAAAAAATGGCAGATGCTTCGTCCAAGCCTCCTGGCAGCACATGTATTCTAAAGACCTGAAAACTCACCGACTCATTCAGTAAAAGAGAGAGACGTAACCTTCTGGGATGGTCCAGGGAGCGGTGAATCCTGGCCACCAAGCTAAGACACGTCACCATAGAATGAAAAACCAACTATAGCACAGGCTTAAAAAATGTGAACTCAGTTTTGCATGTTCAGGGTTCCCAAAAATATTTACAGTCATTGTACTTTAAAAAAATCACATGCCGGTGCACTTGCTGGGCCTGTGTGAGGCACTGGGTTAGATTCTCAGCACCGCATATAAGTAAATAAAATAAAGGTCTATCAACAACTAAAAAGATAAATAAATAAAGAATGTATATTTTAAAAAATCACATACCTGTGGATGTCTTAATATGACTGGCACCATGGATCACCTACCTTTCCTGGAGCAGGTTAAACCTGCACTGAAAGACTTCATCCTGAAAATGCAGGGTGGCTCAGTTAGCCCCCATCTGCAATTATCTCCAGGTGTTAATGATCTGGGCACCTACAGTAGAGGCTTGTGGATAGATATTTTTATTTATTTATTTATTTGTTTATTTTGTGTGTGTGTGTGTGTGTGTGTTGAACATGGACACAATACCTTTATTTTACTTACTTATTTATGTGGTGCTGAGGATTGAATCAGGGCCTCACATGTGCAAGGTAAGTGCTCCACCACTGGGCCCCAGCCCCAGCCCTGTGGATAGACATTTTTTTAAAAGGTGCTTTCAGGGCTGGGGTTGTGGCTCAGTGGTGGAGCACTTGCCCCGCACGTTGAGGCACTGGGTTTGATTCTCAGCACTGCATACAAACAAGTAAGTAAAATAAAGGTCCATCAACAAGTAAAAAAAATTTTTTTAAAGTATTTTCTATTACTTATTATCCATACCGGTGTTAATTTATTTGTACTTTTCAGAGGGACTGACACAACCATGTCTTCTTATCTTCTGTATAGTCCTTGTCTGTGAAACGGTCCCAAGCCACAGAAACACTGGTCACAAAGCCACTTTGCCGACTGTTTACAAAACATTATTGTCCCCAAAATAGCTGCATAACTGCACATAACTTGCAGGCGGTGTGGGCACAAAAGGGGTTTTTCTGCACTTAAGGTCCCTCTTTGTCTCCCAGCTAAACACTTGCCCTCAGTTTGGATCAGATGCCGGGGAAGTTCCAGATGGACTCAGCTGTTTCCACTGCATCCAAGTGACCAAGGAGCTGGTCTTCTGGGTTTTGTTTAACAAAACCAACTTGAGATTCAAAGTGTCCCTTGCTTCTTCAAAAGTCCACCAACAGTGACATAAATAACTGAAATTGGGCTCATGGAATTGGTTATAATTCCACTGTGAGGCGACCTTTCAAACCCTCTCCAAAAAAATATATTTTTTCTTAAAAGTGTATCTAGGGGGCTGGGATGTGGCTCAAGCGGTAGCGCGCTCGCCTGGCATGCATGCGGCCCGGGTTCCATCCTCAGCACCACATACCAACAAAGATGTTGTGTCCGCCGAGAACTAAAAAATAAATATTAAAAATTAAAAAAAAAAAAGTGTATCTAGGGCTGGGGTTGTGGCTCAGTGGTAGAGAGCTCGCCTACATGCATGAGGCACAGTGTTTGATCCCCAGCACCACATAAAGATAAACAAACAAACAAAAAAACGGAATAAACAAAATAAAGGTATTGTGTCCATCTACAACTAAAAATATTTTTTTTAAAAAAAAGGTGTGTCTCACCAAGGCCAGGCGCAGTGGTGCACCCCTGAAATCCCAGCAGCTTGGGAGGCTGAGGCAGGAGGATTGTGAGTTCAAACCTAGCCTCAGCAACTCAGTGAGGCCCTAAGCAACTCAGCAAGATGAATAAATAAAATACAAAAATGGGCTGGGGATGTGACTTAGTGGCTAAGCACCCCTGGGTTCAATCCCCAATGAAAGAAAGGAAGGAAGGAAAGGAGGGAGGGAGGGAGGGAGAGAGAGAGAGGGAGGGAGGGAGGAAGGAAGGAAGGAATCTAATCAAAGGAATGGATCTCTCTCTCCAAATTCCTGCATGGGAGTTGACTCCTGAAGGCGGGATTCCAGGGCCTCTGCTCCTTTCTTGATGGCATTCTATATGGATGTCCCAAAGAGTGGGCTGGCGTTCCCTTGGCAAGCAGAGAAAGGAGTCCAGAGTGGCTGGGGAGGGTCCTTGGCCTCTGAGTGCCTGGTCCTAGCAGGTGGGCGGAGGGGGTGCTGTCTCTGTGGAATCTAGGTTATCCTTCCTCTTTCCCAGACGGGGTGCTGGTGAAGAGCCAGAACCACCCTGCTGGGTCCCTGCCCTGGCCGGGGCACACTCCCTACTTCCTCTGAGCTTCAGAATCTCTGGGAAACCGTGGCCACTGAAGCACTGGGGAGGAGCAGGCAGAGTGGAAGTGAGGATTCAGTCAAGGGCTTGGTGCATGGACGGGGCTCACTGGGAAATGTGTGTGAACCGCGGCTTGTCCTCGTCCTCGGCTGGGGCTTGAATGGCTGCTTGGGAGTCACTCCCACACGGTTTGCTCACCCATTTGAGGAGGGGAGTCCGCGGTGTTAGTGGAGTCATGGACCTCCGCCACCCTCACCACATCCATTTTGGTGCTGGGGACTGAGCGCACAGCCCATGTGTGCTGAGCCCGCTCTCTGCCAGGAGGCGCGAGGCCCCCAGCCCTTGAGCACTTTGATCACCCCCAAAAGCAGCTCCCTCCCACCCCTTGGCCATGTGCCCCTCAGCTCTCTCCTTCCCCTGACCTGCAGCCTGTCCCCAACCCCAGGTCACCGCCCATCACTTCTGTCTCTGTGGATTTGTTTTTTTTCTGGACATTTCTTATCAAGGGCATCTGACAATACATGGAGCTTTGTGTCTGCCTTCTCACGCTTAGTGTAATATTTCTTTAAAAAAAAATCTCTTCATTGAGATATGATTGACGTATAAGAAGCTGAGTTTTTGTGTTGATGGGCCTGGGGATGAGCATCCGCCCAGGTGTATGATGTTCTCAAGGCTCGTCCACCGAGCAGCAAGGATGGTACTGCATTTCTTCATGATCAAGGAGGCTTGGCTGCTCGGCTACGGCTCGTTTGTTTATCCATCGACCAGTTGACAGACATAGAGGTTGTTTTCAATTTGGCGCTTTTGTGGATGATAATGCTGCTAGTGAACGTCTTTGCACAAGTCTTTGCATGGATACATTCCTTCCAAAGAGATCTCTGCTGTGTTTGGTGTTTTTTTTTTTTTAATGGATTTAAACAGGTTCTTTTTTTCTTTCTTTCTTGTTTAAGGAGGATTTATTTTGGCTCACGGTTTCTGACCACGTCAGCTCTCTCCATTGCTGTGGACTTGTGTTCTATATTATTTTTATTTTTGACATAGGGTCTCTCTAAGTCACCGTGACTGGCCTTGAACTTGCGATCCTGAGGCCAGCATGCTAAGGAGACTGTCCTTTAATGCTGCG